ATTAGACATTCTGTCTTGTATTAAATTGTACAATTTTCACATTATAATTGTTTAAAAACTCCGGAAGCATTCATATTGAATGGCTGCAATGATGGTAGCACTGGTACAATTTTATTTAGTAGCTATTTCCTATTTAACGGACTTTTCTTAAACCGTCAAAGACGCTTTGTAAATCTTTACTTTTTTATTTCTTACATTTAAAACCGTATTTGTGAATTTTATGTGATTGTTTTTAAAAAATAAATTGCCTTACAACGATAATTTTATTATAAAACGGTGTAGTGTAGACCAGGAAACTTAAAATACAGTAGGTTATAATTGTATTACCTTAAAAGCTTCAGTAATCGTTTTTCTCAAAATTAAAAAAAAATTTTAAAATACCAAGCATTAATTTATAAAAAATATCATTGATATTTATATACGTGCATTAATTAAATTACATATTGCTTTATTTTATTAATTTAAATAATTAAATTTGTAAAAACATTTTTAATATTCATGCATACAACTGATTAATCATAAAAAATAATTATTTGGCATGCTTTTGTGATGAACCAAATAAAATATTGAAGAAATAATTTTAAGTTTTTATAAAATTAATTTCAGATTAATTATGAATTTCACATCAGGTGATGATTCTCTAAAAGAGGAAATACTTGATAAATTAAAAGATGATGTATTGTCACCTATTTGCAAAGAATTGAATACTATATGGGCAGAATTGTGGGATCAATCTGAATGTGAAAAAAGGAAGAATATTTTAGCCAGTGAGTGCCAAAAAGAAATTCAAGAATTTCTACAAGAAATTTTAAATAATGAAAGGAAAGTTCGAGATGATTACATTACTCGCATTGAAGACCTTTTAAATGAAATGAATGATTTGCAGAAAACTCTTGAAATAATAATTCCATATGAAGATGTCGAATCTCTACCACTGCATGTTATGGCAGCTTGTTTGAACAAAAAGGCAGAAAAATACAGAATTTTAAGAAATGAGTTAATTCATCAATTGAATGAACTTTCCGAGAAAGAAGCATCATTGTGCGAAAAATTAGGAATGGTAAAATGTGCAATCGACTCTTCTGAAATGTCCACTAAAACTAAAATAAAAACTTTAGAGAGTCACATAGCTGTTTTAGAACAGGAAAAAATTAGCAGAACTGTTACTTTCTTAGAACAAAGACAAATTATTATAAACTTGTATGAGGAAATGGGAATAAAACCATTGCTTAATTTTGAAAAAGAATTACTTAAAGATGAAGCAATTGAAAGTTTTCCTTTAACAACTGAGAATCTTGATAAACTTAATGAATTGAAAGAAAAATTAGAAGAGCAGTTAAAAAATTGCAAAGAGAAAATAATGGAGATGAAAGAAAAATTAAGCCTTTTATGGAATTATTTGGGAGAAAGCGAAGAATACAAAAACAATTTCATTTCAGAGAATACTGGTTACACTGTTGATGTGATTAATGCTTTTCAAGCAGAAGTTTCAAGATGCGAAATTATAAAAAAAGAAAATATATCAAAAATTGTAGAAAAAATTCGGGAAGTTCTTGTGGAAGAATGGGACAGATGTTTGATATCGAAAGATGAAAGAGAAAAATTTCGTCCCTTTAATATAAATTGTTTCACAGAAGATTTGTGCGATTTGCACGAACTTGAAATAAAACGCCTGAAAAAATTTTACAATGATAATGAACAAATATTTATTTTAATTCAAAAGCATGAGAAATTATTTAATAAATTGCTCGAACTTGAAAATTGTTCAAAAAATGCTAATCGTTATCACAATCGAGGAGGTCAACTTCTTCAAGAAGAAAAAGAAAGAAAATTAATAACTAAAGAGTTACCAGTTGTTGAAGAAAAACTGAGGAGTTTGCTTAGAAAGTACGAAGAGGATCATGGTGAGCCATTCACTTCATTTGGTGTACCCGTTGAAGTGATATTAGATGAACAATGGAATGTTCATTTTGATCAGAAAACAATAGAAAAATTATCCCGAAAAAAAATTGATAAAAAAAGGAAAACTCCATTGGGTAAAAGAGTTTGCACGACTCCTTACACTCCACTATCAGCAAATAAAGTATCCAGGCTTAATTCAGAAAAAATAACATCTGCTAGCAAGGCTACTGCTACTGCTACCAGTACTACTACTCCATGCACAGCTAAAAGTGTGACAATTCGTAAAAAGAAAGGAAACGAAAAAGATGATGTAAACGCGACTCTGATATTGGAACCTACGTACGATGATTTTCAGGTAAAAATAAAAAAAAATTTCCTGTTTTTTTTAAATATTAAATCCCAGTAAAAAAAAATAAAAAATTTTTTTTTTTCAGTCCGCATTACAATCCAAAGTCGAACGATCAGTAAAAAATAAAAAAATCGTACCTCGAAGTACGGCCATTAACGAAAGAACTCCGGGAATACTTCGGGAGCGTAACACTTCGAATAAAGTCGGTCCTGTAACTCCATTGAAAACTACTCCAGCTAAAATATCCCCACCCATGTGGTCTCCATCGGTTGTGAAATCTCCAAAAACGGTTCCAAAAGTTCGTCGTCAAAGTCAAAGAAATCGTTTGACTCCAGCTCGATGTCGTTTACCAATAATAATTTAATTACTTTTTTTTTTTTTTTTTCCACGTGATACTTTTCCAATATGGGGTATGAAGGAAAAATATTACCGTAATAATCATACCGTATAAAAAAGTTTTTATTTATTAACGAAAAACATGTTCTAAAATCTTTTTGAATTTTCGATAACTTTTTTTTTTTTTTCGAAGTTTTTTTTTTTTTTTAATATTTATGGAGCAAAAATCACAATGCAGCTAATTTTTAAGATTGTCACACACAAAAAAAAAATTTTTTTTTTTTAATTGTAGATTTTTTATGCAAAGTTTTTATTAATTAATAATTACTATATATATCTATATATATATATATACCTATTTTAATACATGTATAACATAAAATTTGATTGCGATTCTTAAAATTTCTAGATATTTCTCTATTCCTTTTTATTATTAATTATTATTATTATTAATTATTATTATTATTATTATTATTATTATTGAAATTTAATTTTTGTAATAATTTATTTTTATTTGGTATAAAAAAAAAAAAAAACTTTAAAAGTTTTTACGAATCAACATGTAAAAATGAGTAGTAATGATAAAATTGTGGGGGTGGGAAGGGAAGGGAAGGGGAGGGGATAAATCTCGTACCGCTGGCGGTCTTTCGGACATGATAATTTTTTTTTTAAAACCTTAAAAATGTATCAACTTGATCATCACACGCACACACACACACACGACATCAAATTAAAATAATTTATACTATATTATTATTATTATTATTATTATTTCGTTAAGGTTGATTCTTAAATTGGAAATTTTTGAATGTCTTGGGGGGGGGGGAAATTTATCGGCCTATTATTATTATTATTATTATAAATTATATAAAATAATAATAAGTTTAGTATATACGTATATATATATATATATATATATATATATATATATATATATATATATATAAATAAATT